GGGGGGATGTGAGTAACCTACGAAGAGAGCTTGAGTAAATGGATAACGGCAGAGAGATAATAAAATGTCAAAACTTGCTAAGATTTACCAAGGATAGGAAGTTGTGATGGGCCATGATAATCCACGTCCTGAAGAGACACGGTACATAGAAGATGATAAAAAAACTACTATATAACCTCAAGTCCGTCGTTAAATGCGGCCAAAGAAGGCTTGTTAAATTTAACGCCTTCAAAACTAAATTTCTCTCCATTAATCATCTGAAAGGCCATTTCTGCCTTCCATAACTATGGCTGATGCTAACCTCCAGGAAAGTAACACGCTGCGCCTTCTCAGTGTAAGGTTCACAGCTGACATGAAGTGGAAAGACTATATTGAATCCATTGTTAGATCAGCTGCTAAGAAAGTTGTTTCCTTGTGTCGTGCGAGGTAATTTTTATCTGTAGAATCTATCTTACATATCTATATGTCTGCCATTCGTCCATGCTTAGAATATTGATGCCACATATGGTCCGGTGTTCCTGCTATTTTCCTTCAGCTCTTTGATAAAATCCAAAGAAGAATCAGCAATATTATTCGTCCTGATCTGGCAGCTCGGTTTCACTTTCCTGTCGTCATAAGGTTTTCTCTCTCTCTCTCTGTGTTTTCCATAAACACTTTCATGGTAATTGTAAGGCTGAGATATTCACTATGGTACCTAGATTTTTTAAGATTTGGCGTCGAGATCTCATTAATTACAGATAAGCTGGCTAGATGTAACCTTAAGTTGTATGTTAACAGTTTTTTCTCGCACTTCTCGCTTGTGGAACTCTTTCCTGCTCCATGATTTCCAGCCAAATTTAATCTGCAAAAATTTAAATGCAATGTCAGTGGCTACCTACTGTCTTCCTGGTTACTCTTTTCTCTTCACGCTCGTTATGAATGTTTCTGTTATTCATTCTACCTCACCTTGTAACTCCTTTTGTCAAGTGGCTTCCAGCCTTACATGTGTTAATAGCGTTTTGAAAAAAACAGAAAGATAGATAGCGAGATAGATAGATGTTTTTACAGTTGAACTGGCTAGATGTCGCCGTAAGTTCTATGCTAACAGCTTCTTTTCTCGCACTTACCGATTGTGGAACTCCTTCCCAGCTCCATGCTTCCCAGTAAACTTTAATCTGCAAAAATTTGAAAGCAATGTCAATCGCTTTTTACTGTCTTCCTGATTACTCTTTTCTCTTCCCGCTCATTATTAATGTTTCTGTTCCTAATTCTTCCACGTCCTGTAACCCCTTGTGTCTTAGTGGCTTTATTGCCTTATATGGGGTGATACTGATTAAAAAGAAGAAAGATCGATAGATGCTTTTAAATGCAATGTCAATCTCTATCTACTGTCCTCCTAATTATCCTTTCCTCTTCCTGCTCATTATTAATGTTTCTGTTCCTAATTCTTCCACATCCTGTAACTCCTTGTGTCTTAGTGGCTTTATTGCCTTATATGGGGTGATACTGATTAAAAAGAAGAAGGATAGATACATGCTTTTAAATGCAATGTCAATCACTATCTACTGTTGTTACAAATTCATGACGGTCGTCTTCGAGTATAGAATCCAGAGGTTGGCTGTGAATATTTCGGAGACAGTAGGAAAGCGTAGTGCAGGTTCGCAGTGGATATCGCAGCAAAGTAGTACCTCCGTCTGTCATGTTCGCCTGACATGTTGGCTCAGGTCATTCCGGTAGGGTAAACAAAGATGGCCGCCTTTATACACGACGGATACAGTGTTCTGCGGCTTCTGATTGGTTAATCTTCTATTGGTAGACTATAAAGGGAATTAAGTCATTTTGACTCGGTCACTAGTTATATACATAAATATACACAAAAAACTGTAACAACTTTCCCCCTAATTATTCTTTCCTCTTCCAGCTCATTATTAATATTTCTGTTCCTAATTCTTCCACACCCTGTAACTCCTTGTGTCTTAGTGGCTTTACTACGTTACATGTGGTCATACCGATTAAAAAAAGAAAGATAGATAGATGCTTTTAAATGCAATGTCAATCACTATCTACTGTCCTCCTGATTGCACTTTTCTCTTCCTGTTCATTATTAATATTTCTGTTCCTAATTCTTCCACATCCTGTAACTCCTTGTGTCTTAGTGGCTTTATTGCCTTATATGGGGTGATACTGATTAAAAAGAAGAAAGATAGATAGATGCTTTTAAATGCAATCTCAATCTCTATCTACTGTCCTCCTAATTATCCTTTCCTCTTCCTGCTCATTATTAATGTTTCTGTTCCTAATTCTTTCACATCCTGTAACTCCTTATGTCTTAGTGGCTTTATTGCCTTATATGGGGTGGTACTGATTAAAAAAATAGATAGATGTTTTTACAGTTGAGCTGGCTAGATGTAGCCGTAAGTTCTATGCTAACAGCTTCTTTTCTCGCACTTACCGTTTGTGGAACTCCTTTCCGGCTCCTTGCTTTCCAGCCAAAATTTAAATCCAATGTCAATCGCTAACAGCTCTCTTCTTGATTACACTTTTCTCTTTCCGCATATTATTAATGTTTCTGTTCCTAATTCTATCCACACCCTCTTTTGACACCTTGCGTCTTAGTGGCTTGAAGGTGGGGGGTGATACCGATTTAAAAAAAAAAACTGGTATAATACATACTTTATACCTACTTTTACAGTTCCTTATATAAAGATTGCTTTTAAAAAAACCTTCCGCGTTTTCTTCGTGCGGACCAGTCAATTTAAGTTGTTCCATCATTACAATGCGTCTTCTTACAATTTAATTAGTATACAACAACTTAAGGGTAACGAACATTTGGCTGTGGGGAGCTGGGACTGCCACAAATCCCGCAAACGCTGCCGGTCACTGCGGGAGAGCACCTGAGCAGAATTGTGCAATCTGTACTATTTCTAAGCAAGTGCACCTCTTTCGTGGCACTGGAGAAATCTGTGATCTCAAACATCAGACAGTGCTGCTAAACAGGTGTCCCTGTCTAGATTGGCGCGTACCAGGTTTTCGTGTGGTTAAAGATGGCCAGATTGGTGAGTGCAATCTCCAGCTTGCCAGTCGATTGTGTCGTAATTTTGTTCGTTTTTCAAATTTCATTTATTTATTTGTGTGTCCCAACTGTCTGCATGTTTCTCGATGTTTTTCTTCTCTTTGCATATCTATCTATCTATCTATCTATCTATCTATCTATCTATCTATCTATCTATCTATCTCTGACTTTTTTCATATCTATCTATCTATCTATCTATCTATCTATCTATCTATCTATCTATCTTTTTATATCTATCTATCTATCTATCTATCTATCTATCTATCTATCTATCTATCTATCCCTGATATCTATCCCTGCCTGTTTTCATATCTATCTATCTATCTATCTATCTATCTATCTATCTATCTATCTATCTATCTATCTATCTAATTTCGTCCTTCCCTATCTATCTATCTATCTATCTATCTATCTATCTATCTATCTATCTCTGCCTTTTTCATATCTATCTATCTATCTATCTATCTATCTATCTATCTATCTATCTATCCGTCTGCTTTTTCGTATCTATCTATCTATCTATCTATCTATCTATCTATCTATCTATCTATCTATCTATCTCTGCCTTTTCATATCTATCTATATCTATCTATCTATCTATATCTATCTATCTATCTATCTATCTATCTAATTTCGTCTATCCTATCTATCTATCTATCTATCTATCTATCTATCTATCTATCTATCTATCTATCTATCCCTGTATTTTTCATATCTATCTATCTATCTATCTATCTATCTATCTATCTATCTATCTATCTATCTATGCCTGTTTTCATATCTATCTATCTATCTATCTATCTAATTTCGTTCTTCCCTATCTATCTATCTATCTATCTATCTATCTATCTATCTATCTATCTATCTATCTATCTATCCCTACCTTTTTTCATATCTATCTATCTATCTATCTATCTATCTATCTATCTATGTCTTTTTCATATCTATCTATCTACCTGACTATGTTCTGTGAGTGCCAAATTCTCCAAGCCCCCACCTCCTCATTACCTACTTATCTCCCCTTATCAACCCGACGTTGAAATGTACACCATAAAAATGTTGCATAATGTGTAAGTTAGACAAAAGTAGTAGACTTTATTATACTGGTTAAAAAAAAACCTTGAGTGCATGAACTGAATGGATGAGTGAAAACATGGCAGGCGTGGAGTTCCCGCTGCCATGTAGTGCCTTTATATTAGTTTTCATATAAGACCGAAAAACGTGTGAAACCAACGTTTGCGTCAGCCGAGAGGTTAAGAGCCCTGATGTCTTTCGTTCTCAGATTCCTTCGCCTGCCTTTTTTTGCTGCAGAGGCACAAGACACTACGCGGGGAGGATAATAATTTGGCTCACCAGTTGACAGCTATTCTCCCTGCCCCCGCCCCCCACTTTGCGCACTCCAAGAATCGATGCATATTACCCTCCCCCATGTAATAAAACGAAAACGACAAAAACCCGGACAAAATTATCTGTCGTTTATTCAGTCTGTTGATGCAGCATGGATTCCCGACTGTGGAATTGCCGATAGACGAATTAGGCTCCAGAGACAACACTCAACGCAAACGAAAGGCATGTACTTAGTTCTCCCTATGCTCTGACCAGTCACCAGTTCTTTCGACAATGTATGCTGTGGTGGTTGCCAGAGAAAACCATTTGTTAGTCAACAGCCAGAGAAGGTCCTCGCCCATAACTACCCCGACGTTAAACAAGTAGTAGTATGATCGAACGAGTGCGTGTGTGTAAATGTGTGTTTGTCCAATTAGGGCTTGTCAGCTTGGCCACTTTGCTTCGGGCTAATTAATTGCATTTCAGCTTTTAATTACACTTTTGCTAATGTGAAGCAATTTAAAAAATGTGTCTTCTTTGTTTTGTTTTGTTTTCTTTTCCAATCAGAAAATTTGGTTTGTGTCTTTTTATTAAGATGTCGATTTTCATTGTTTTTTTTTAAATGTATTTTCTTCATCCCTTCCTTCATAGCTTTTCTCGCATCTTTCTTTCTTTCTTTCTTTCTTTCTTTCTTTCTTTCTTTCTTTCTTTCTTTCTTTCATTCATTCTTTCTTTTTTTTTTCTTATTACTTTTGACAATTTCCTCTGCCCGTATTCCTTTTTTCCCGCCTTTGGTTGTTTGTCTGTTTATTTCTTTCTTTCTTTCTTTCTTTCATTCTTTTTTTTCTTTCTTGCTTGCTTCTTCATTGTTTTCTTCCGAGTGCATTTTGTTTGTTTGTCTGCTTCTTTGTTTGTTTGTTTCTTTCTTTCTTTCATGGCCTTGTCATTGCTCTCTTCCGAATGCATTTTCTTTCTTTCTTTCTTTCTTTCTTTCTTTCTTTCATGGCCATATAATTGCTCTCTTCCGAATGCATTTTCTTTCTTTCTTTCTTTCTTTCTTTCTTTCTTTCTTTCTTTCTTTCTTCATGGCTTCTTTATTGTTCTTTTCCGAGTGAATTTTGTTTGTTTGTCTTATTTCTTTCTTTCTTTCTTTCTTTCTTTCTTTCTTTTTTCTTTTTTTTCTTTCTTTCTTTCTTTTCATGGCCATATAATTGCTCTCTTCCGAATGCATTTTCTTTCTTTCTTTCTTTCTTTTTTCCGAGTGCATTTTGTTTGTTCGTCTTCTTTCTTTCTTTCTTTCTTTCTTGTTTTTTTCCGAGTGCATTTTGTTTGTTCGTCTTCTTTCTCTCTTTCTTTCTTTCTTTCTTTCTTTCTTTCTTTCTTTCTTTCTTTCTTTCTTTCTTTCTTTCTTTCATGGCCTTGTCATTGCTCTCTTCCGAATGCATTTTCTTTCTTTCTTTCTTTCTTTCTTTCTTTCTTTCTTTCTTTCTTTCTTTCTTTCTTTCTTTCTTCATGGCTTCTTTATTGTTTTTTTCCGAGTGCATTTTGTTTGTTTGTCTTCTTTCTTTCTTTCTTTCTTTCTTTCTTTCTTTCTTTCATGGCCATTCTTTCATGGCCATTCTTTCATGACCATATAATTTCTCTCTTCCGAATGCATTTTCTTTCTTTCTTTCTTTCTTTCTTTCTTTCTTTCTTTCTTCTTTGTTTTTTCCGAGTGCATTTTGTTTGTTCGTCTTCTTTCTTTCTTTCTTTCTTTCTTTCTTTCTTTCTTTCTTCATTGATTCTTTATTGTTTTTTTCCGAGTGCATTTTGTTTCTTTGTCTTCTTTCTTTCTTTCTTTCTTTCTTTCTTTCTTTCTTTTCTCATTTCTTCTTTCTAAATATATTTTATTTACTTTTTCTTTCCATCTTTGATTTTCCGGCTCTTTTCTCGTTCCTTTTTTTTCCAGATACATTTTCTTTTTTCTTTCGTTCTTTATACTTTTTCTCATTCCTTTCTTCCAAATACGTTTTCATTCTATCTTTCCAGTTTTCTTTCTTTCTTTTTTTCATTGCTTTCTTTCTTTTTCATCCCTGTCTTCATACACTTTCTCCTCCCTTCCTTTCTCAACATTCAATCTCTATCATTTCTTTTGAGTTTCCATATTCTTTTATCTCCTTCTCATTTTCCTTCGTCCTCTTTATTAAATCTTTCTTTTCCTTTATCCCTTCACTTCTTTTTTTCCTTGATTGCTTGTTTTCACTTTTTATCGACCATTATCGTCTGCCATTGTTATTTATACATGAACATTCTTTTATTCTATTAATCTTTCATTCTTCTAATCGTATATTCTTTCAATTCGTTTTTTTTTCATTTACGTAATATATCTGAATAACTACTGAATTACCTCTCGTTTGTATAAGATAAAATTACACAGGATTACTTAATTCTATACTCTATTCGTAATTCACATTGTTCGTAAATTAATCTATTCTTTCTCATGAGAATAAATTCATTTACATGACCAGGCACTAAACTTTGGCTCAAGGCACTTTTTGGATCAATCAACCAAAGCTTTCCCCAACTGGGCCATGGGCCTTGCAGACAAAACACAAACAATCAAGGGGAATTAACTAAAACTGTACAATCTATCCTGTGGTCTAAATAAAGAATTCGGTTCGAAATTGTAGCAAGTATCACCTGAAGAAGAACGGAGCTTACAAGCGCCGAAACGTCGTAAGTGCGTTGGTAGAGATAAAGACACCAGTTTGAACAATATAGTTTTCCAGTTTAGCATAGGGTTTCCGGTTCCTTTTAAGGTCATTCTCTTTCATTTTCAATGGCCGTTTGCATCTTAGTTTTATGATCACCTTTTTTTTTTTGGCGGGGGGTGTTAAACACCGTTATTCCCTATGTATAATACGCCTTCATCTATAATACGCACCCCTAAAGTGTGGAAAAATGTTTCTACTCATGCATAATACGCACCCCTTGTTTGGTAACCAAACCCTATAAATTGTACATTTTCAATTTCATTACCGTCAGCGTTTCCTAATCTTATTTAAAAAAATGTTTTTAAACTTAGATTAATATTATCCTAATAAAGTTTTATGACAATACTTAACGCTAGCGATTAGGATTGAGGTATCGGAGAGCCGAGTTCGAATTCCAATCGAATCCATTGCATGCATATACTTTGGATAAGGTATGAACCCTCTTCTTCACCCCCAGCTATAGGTAAATAGCAGAAACAGACTTGGTTCTATAGCCTTGATATGGCAACTGGGCTACCGCAGAATTAAATGGCAACCTGCTGCGGGAAAAAAAATCTGCCTCGTCAGTCATGTATCCCCTAAGCGTGTATCACGTATGGCACATAACTGTCTGATAATTCTTATTTTATTTTATGGCAATTTTTAAAAGATTTTTTTGTAGATGTGCATAATACGTACCGCTGATTTTGCTTACTATTTTTTTTAGAAATAAAATGCGTATTATACATGTGAAATACGGTAATAGTCTAGGAGATTATTATTTTTTTTAAAGAATTGTATTTCCTCTGACCTCCTCATTTTGGCCTTTGAGGTCAGATTGCAGGCTAAATATAGGGATGTCGATTTTGATTGGCTGAGCCGAACGTGGGAATGTTAGAGTTAGAAAGTGTTTTCAGGGGGTTTAGTTGTACACGTCATATACATTATACGTGGTTATTTTGTGTCTCGGGGAACTTGCGCCACAATGTCGGGGGGCGGTGGTGATAGAGCTAGTTAAAAATGTACACGTCGACGTGTTGATAAAATACATAAGTTTCAAATTTCCTTTTCTTGAAGTTCTCATTTTATCTCCGAACTAAAACAAACTAACAATCACCCGGCCTAGTGAAAGAACGGAAGACAACATTATTATGATCGCCTCAAGACCGCCAAGCAAAAAAAAAAAAACTCTTCCAGAATGAGGCAGGTATTCAATACAAGAATACAGAATTCATGGTTGTCAGCAAGAAATATACGAATTACGAAATGGAGATGTCAGTGTCAAACAAGTGTATAAGATTAAATATCTGGGTTAAGGATTTTGTGAAGGATGGAAAATGCAACCAGAATATCCGAAGACGCATTAAAAAAAAAGAAAGTTGCCTTCCAAAAGCTAAGTAGAGTAATAAGCAAGAGGATCCTTTACTTGTAAGTCGAAATAGTGCATCCTTTACTTGTAAGTTGAAATAGAGGATTCTTTACTTGCAAGTCGAAAGTGAGGATTCTTTATCTGTAAGTCGAAACAGAGGATTCTTTACTTGTAAGTCGAATCTGAGGATCCTATACTTGTAAGTCGAAACACAGGATTCTTTATTTGTAAGTCAAAACAGAAGATTCTTTACTTGTAAGTCGAAAGAGAGGATTCTTTACTTGAAGTTCGAAAGAGTGGATTCTTTACTTGTAAATCGAAACAGATCAATTAGAAAAGATCCAACTCAATCAATAAGATGTTTGGCACGCGAGAGATGAGTTTCAGCTCTGTCAGTTTAAAGAGCAGTGAAAAAATCTTGAGAATGAAATCGTACGTGAAAACAGTGAGGCACCTTGTTACTCGAGGACAGAAAGTTAAAAGGTTAGAGAGGGCGAAGATCATCTTGAATAAGTTGGAAAATGACCTTGGAATAATATATATATATATATACTTTACTTGTAAGTCGAAATAGTGCATCCTTTACTAATAGAGGATTCTGTACCTGGAAGTCGAATTACTGCATACATTACTTGTAAGACGAAAAACAGGATTCTTTAGTTGTAAGTCGAATCTGCGGATTCTATACTTGTAAGTCGAAACACAGGATTCTTTATTTGTAAGTCGAAACAGAAGATTATTTACTTGTAAGTCGAAATAGTGCATCCTTTATTTGTAAGTCGAAAGAGAGGATTCTTTACTTGTAAGTCGAAACAAAGGATTCTTTACATGTAAATCGAAATAATGCATCCTTTACTTGTAATCGAAATAGAGGAATCCTTACTCGTTTGTAAGTCGAACCAGAGGAATTTGGTTTAAATTGAATTTGAAAAAATTAATGTTAAAACAAATATCATATTCTTTTATTCCTCAAACAATTGACCATTTTCTATCAGGTTGCACCATGTTAGCATCAATTAAATATAAACCTTGGCACGAGAGAGCGAACCAATATCTGCATTGGAAAATATGCAACTTTTATGGGAAGGAAACTGCAAGTAAACGTAATGAACATCTCCCAGACTCGGTTAGAGAGATAGGACATGTAACCATTTTTGGGGGACTTTACAAGGCCCACAGGCAGAACAGTCAAAGCTAATAGTACAGGCATCGTAATCAATTGCCACAAGAACCAAATGGCAATCCCTGTAATGTAAGATTTTAATGTAACTTTGATCTTCAAAAAAAAAAAAGAAAAAAAGAAACTATCAAAATATAAGCATCTTGAAATAGAAATTTAAAAAAGAATTGGCACATGAGGATATCAATAATTCCAGTCGTAGTTAGAGGACTCGGATTGTTGAAAAAGTTTACCGATCAAGGCATTTAAGGGACCCCTGTAGCCCGTGCCTCAAAGAAATAGAAAAAAATATATTCACACGTACAACTCACACATTACGAAAAGCTTTATCTATGTAAAATAGGTGTGGTCTTATTTTTTTTTAATTTTGTTTTTTAAATGAACAGCGGAAAATGTCATGAAACCATTTCTGACATTACGTCTCTGGTTGGGACCCGGAACGAAATGCGCACACAGAGAAACGCAAGGAAATAATAATAATAATAATAATAATAATAATAATAATGGCACATGAGAACATCAACAAGCCCTGTTGTAGTTGGAGCCCTCGGATTGGTTAGAAAAGATATCAGTAGACTAATGGAAGGGATTCCTGAAAGTCCATGCCTCAAAGAAATACAAAAAATTGTTCTAACAAGTACAGCCCACACTTTACGAAGGGCTTTATCTATATAATTTTTTTTTCAGTGGAAAGTGTCATGATGCCATTTCTAACCTTAGGTCACTGGATGGGACCCAGAAAGAAATGTGTAAACGCTAGAAATCAAAGGAAATAATAATAATAATTATAATAATAATAATAATAATAATAATAATAATAATAATAATAATGAACCTTGCATAACAATGAAAGGAGGTGGAAAGTCCACATTATTCTGGGAGTGTGATTTTCAGACAGACAAACTGATGTTCCCGCTCCGTCTGCATATTATTGTTCTTGATAAAGACATCAATAACTGTCATTTTATTGATGTCGCCATACCAAATGACACAAATATATCAAACAAGGTCATTGAGAAGATAACAAACAATTCTGATTTGAAAGTTAAAATGTCAAGACTGTTTCGAATCCCGGAAGGGAATTTCAAGGTGATTCTAGTGGTGATTGGAGCATTCGGATTAATTCCATTAAAACTGTGTGAGTTCCCTGACTAGATTAAGACTGTACCAATCGTAATTAGAACGCTGGGCCACGTGAGAAAAGGAATAGCCAATTTTACTAACAGTGTCTCAGGTCACATCAACATACAATTTGCTCAGAAGGTAGGCCTACTAGGAACATTCCATATACTAAGAAAAGTGTTATCAATTAAAAGACAATTCTCCTATAGGACCTAAGGACCATAGTTTGGATCCGGCCTTACAGGATACAAGGCAGGAAACATAACATACACAAATAATAATAATAATAATAATAATAATAATAATAATAATAATGTACCTTACAGAACAATGGAAGAAGTTGGATGGAAGCCCCCATTATTCTGGGGGTGTGATTTTCAGGCAGACAGATACAGCCTATAATGTATGGATATTATTCTGCGAGATAGAGACATCAAGAACTGCCATTTTATTGATTTTCGCCATACCAAATGATA